ATCCATAGACACTCTCCCTTTGAGAGAATAGCCATGCCGTTTCCTTTTTCTCCACAGGATTTTTGTCACCTGTGCATGTATTCTTGTTAGCCACAACAGGCAGACTCTGCTGGCCAGAGTCCACCACAATCTCCAGGACAACTTTAAACATTCCAACATCCAAATCATAGGGGTGCCAGAAGGTGAAGAAGGGCAAGAAATTGAACTTACTTGAAAAAATAATGAAGGAGAACTTCCCCAACCTGGCAAAGGAAAGAGACTTCCAAGAAGTCCAGGAAGCTCAGACTCCCAAAGAAGTTGGACCCACCAACTCCTCCAAGAAGGAGGAACACACCAAGGTACATCATAATTACATTACCCAAAATTAAAATGGAGAGAATCTTAAAAGCAGCAAAAGAATAGGAGACAGTTACCTACAAAGTAGTTCCCATTAGACTATCAGCCGATTTCTCAAAAGAATTGCAAGAAGGGGCTGGAAAGAAGTTTTCAAAATCATAAAAGGCAAGGACCTACATCCAAGATTACTCTATCCAGCAAAGCTTTCATTTAGAATGGAAGGGCAGATAAAGTGCTTCTCAGATAAGGTCAAGTTAAAGGAGTTCATCATCACCAAGTCCTTATTATATGAAATGTTAAAGCGACTTTGTCTTAAAAAAAAAAAAGAGCAAAACTTTGAACAGTAAAATGACAACAAACTTACAACTATCAACAATTGAACCTAAAATAAACAATAACCAAAACTAAGCAAACAACTAGGACAGGAACAGAATCACACAAAAATCACATGGAGGACTATCAGATGGGAGGGGGAGGGAACAATGGGGGAAAAGGTACAGGGAATAAGAAGCATAATTGGTAGGTACAAAATAGGGGGAGACTTCTGGCCAAGATGGAGGTGTAGGTAGACACACTGTGCCTCCTTGCACAACCAAAAGGACAACAACAATTTAAAAACAAAAAATAACCAGAACTGATGAAATTGACAACCAAGGAGTTAAAGAAGAAACATTCATCCAGACCAGTAGGAGGGGCAGAGACAGGCAGCCAGGTGAAGAGGACTGGTGGCAAGGCGGTGGCTGGAGGACCAGCAATGCAGCAGCTGGTGGAGCAGTCGGTCCCACGTTTGTGCACAGATAAACCAGGAGGAATAACTGGGGAGCAAAATAGACCTCACAACCCAAGGCTCCAGCTAATGAAGCCTCAAACCACTTACTGAAAACAGCTGTGGGGGTTCAGGCAGCAGCAAGAGAAATTTCCAGCTTCACAAGAGAGATCACTGGAGAAACCCACAGGGTCCTAGAAGGTACACAAGCCCACCCACCTGGAAATCAGCACCAGAATGGCCCAATTTGATTGTGGGTAGCAGGGGAAGTGACAAATCTGGCAGCGTGGAGCAAATGCCATGCTTCCCTCTCGGACCCCTTCCCCAAATACAGTGTCACAATGCAGCAATGTGAGTTACCCTGCCCTGGTGAATACCTAAGCCTCCATCCCTTACTATGTTGAGAGGTGCATCAAGACAAAAAAAAAAAAAAAAAAAAAGCCCAAATGAAAGAACAGAACAAAACTCCAAAAATAGAATTAAGTGATGAAGGAGGGATAACCAACCTATCAGATGCACAGTTCAAAACACTGGTAACAGGATGCTCACAGAATTGGTTGAATTTGCAAAACAAACAAGCAAGCAGAAAAAAAAAAAAAGACACTGAAATAGAGAACAAGGGGATAGTGACCAGAGGGGAGAAGGAAGGGAAGTTAAGGGGAAAAAGGGGGAGGGATTTGGAGGAACAAATAGGAAGGACACAGGGACGAGAACTAAGGGGGGGGTGGAAATGGGAGGGAGGTGGGGAGCAAGGGGCGGGGGAGGCTGGGATGGGAAAAATAGACAAAAAACTGTACTTGAAAAATAACTAAATAAAATTATAAAAAAAAAAGAATTGGTTGAATTTGGTTGCAAATTAGATGAAAAAATGAAGGCTATGCTAAGTGGAATAAAAGAAAATGTACAGGGAACCAATAGTGATGGGAAGAAAACTGGGACTCAAATCAATGGAATGAACCAGAAGGAAGAAACGTCCAACCAGAAAAGAATGAAGAAACAAGAATTCAAAAAAATAAGGAGAGGCTTAGGAACTTCCAGGACGTCTTTAAACATTCCAACATCTGAATTATAGGAGTACCAGGAGAGGAGGAAAGCCAAGAAATTGAAAACTTACTTTAACAAATAATGGAGAATTTCCCCAATCTGGCAAAGGAAGTAGACTTTCAGGAAGTTCAGGAAGCTCAGAGAGTCCCAAAGAAATTGGACCCAAGGAGGAACACACCAACACACATCATAATTACATTACCCAAGACTAAAGGAGAGAATCTTAGAAGCAGCAACTGAAAAGGAGACAGTTACCTACAAAGGAGTTCTCATCAGACTGTCAGCTGAGTCCTCAAAAGAGACCTTACAGACAAGAAGAGGCTGGAAAGAAGTATTTCAATTCATGAAAGGACCTACATCCAATATTGATCTAGCAAAGTGGAAGGGCAGATAAAGTGCTTCTCAGGTAAGGTTAAGTTAAAGGAGTTCATCATCACCAAACCCTTATTATATGAAATGTTAAGGGGATTTATCTAAGAAAGAAGATAAAAAAATATGCACAGTAAAATGACAGCAAATTCACAGTTATTAACAACCACACCTAAAACAAAATAAAAAACAAAGTAACTAGAACAGGAACAGAATCACAGAAATGGAGATCACATGGAGGGTTATCAATAGGGGAGAGGGAGAGAGGGGGAAAAGGTACAGAGAATAAGTAGCATAAAATAGAATAGGTAGAAAATAGGGGGAGGGTAAGAATAGTATGGGAAATGTAGAAGCCAAATAACTTATGTATGTACGACCCATGAACATGAACTAAAGGGGGGGGGGTCTTGCAAGGCAGAAGGGAGTGAAGCAGGGGGAGGGGATGGAACAATTGTAATAATGTAATCAACAAATAGATTTTAAATAAATAAATAAAAACACCACACCATGACCAAAAAACAACAGGGGTACACATATGTTAAAGAAAAAAACATAACTGTAGATACCCACTTTATTTTTACCTTTAATAAATTTAGAAGACTTCATTACAAATTTAATTTCCAAGTCAAGAATGGAAATAAAAGCAAATAAAATTAATTATTCTAAAAAAATAGGGGTAGGTTAAGAATAGTATAAGAAATGGAGAAGCTGAGGAACTTACATGTAGGACCAATCACATGATCTAAGGTGCCCGAGAGAATGCTGTGGGAGGGTGGTGCAGGGCAGAGGGGGATAAAGAGAAAAAAATGGGACAACTGTAATAGCACTATCAATAAAATACACTTTTTAAAAAATGGATTTTAATACTGGAAAATTTTTTCAAATTTTGGTAAAATATGAAGTTATTTTTCTGGATATTCCTATCAATACATGCTTGTGTGCTCCTTTTCATCACACTTGTGATAGTTCTAGTGGTCTAACTGGACTCCAGCGCCAACCCATCGTAGCCCTCATGTCCTATGTTTTGCCTAATTTTCTCCTTATTTACTCCCCTAGAGCATAAAACAGTTACTGGAAAAATACAGACTTAGTTAAGTTTTTGAAACAAAGTTTACACTTTTTTTTTCTGAAGTGCTTTTAAATTTATTTCTAATTAATGAATTATAATGGAAATAATTTCAATTGATGCAGAATTTATGGTGTTTCTAAGCTTCCCGGTAAAAATCACACTAATCTAGGCTAATAAGGAGGAGGCAGAGTTTAATCAAAATTTAAGATATATGAGAGTGGAAAGGGTTTGCCTTTCTAAAATGTTACAGAGGGGTGGTCCATGATGGCTAAGAAGTGGCATAATGCATATAAATGGAAGCTCCAAACCATTTTAAAGATGTTCTCATTCCCAGAATCTCATTGTCTTTATCTCATTAACTCGCATTAGCTAAGACTAAAGCATTTGTGCAATTCCTGTCTAAATTCCAAACTAAAGTAGTAGGTAGGGTCTTAAAGTATTATGTGTGACTTAATTGTGCTGTTGTGCCTTATAAAGGGCAGGACTCTCAATTATCCTTTATATGATAGGAAACCCATTGTGTTTCATTTCTTGACTGACAGAAAACACGAGGGATATTTGCCTTTTGACTGCAACTCTGCTACCAGGAAAACCTTTCAAAACAACACCGATTCTCTCGGGCACTCTTAATTGGAAACACTACCAAGTTTGGTAAACCTGTTTTTGTATAAAGAGTAACTTACAGCTGAAAAGCACGTATGGTTTATATACTTTCACGGCCATTACTCATTTCTTAAAACTAGGGTAAGGTCTCTAAAGCCTAATTACGAGTAACCGTGAACATTTCTTACCCCATTCCACCTACTACTTTGTCCTCTCCTGTCTTAAGCACCTATGCAAATATGAACTTTTCTTAATATTCTTTAGAGGCTTAAAGGATAAGGAAGTGCTAAAACGTTTGCTCGTTCTTCCCATGAATTACCAGTGTCACGCTCTCTAACCACTGGCTTTTAAAGGCCCCTGACACAACTACTTTATCCTTGCCTACACGTTTAGGAAAATCAGGAGCTTACACCTAGTCAATAGCGCCTAGACGGTTCGACTACCTTAGATACATTTCCGAAATGCGCACTGTCTGGGCGGTTCACGTCCCAAATGTGGGCTTAACTCTGCGGCTAAGGGATGCAGTCCTTTCTTGTTACACGGTTTGCAAAAAGAAAAAAACTTTTTACATATATTCATTCACTATTTCTTCGCTAGCCAGTCAGGTCTGAGACAGTCCAGCAGACCTACCCACTCGGATAAGCAGGCAATGCTCACCTGCTTGTGGAAAGCGATTCGGGGAGCAGGGGTGAGAAAGATCGGAAAGAAAATGTGCCTTCTCCATTTGCGCACGCGCACGAAGGCCTGTCCCATTGGTCATCTCAACTTGGAAGAAGGTGGGTGAAGCAGGGCTCTCTCTGCGCATGAGCGGGTCGCCGAGCCGACTGTTTTCGATTTACGCGGCGGGGCGGAGCTGTTTGTTCCGGTGGGATGCAGCCTTCAGGTCCGAGCTTCAAGTAGCGGTGTCTACGCAGGTTTTCACTTAGCTTATGAAATTTTCTGTTTAAAGCGGTGATGCATTCATGCTCAAGTACCTAAAGTCTGTCAGACTGGTAGAGTTGCTCAATATTCTCAAAGATGTCCGAGTTGGGGGGAGGGGCGGTGAGAAATAGTTTCTGTAGAGCTTAGCCCCGCCCCGCCGCCTCGGATGGCTCTTTACGTACGCAAAATACCGAACATTAATACCTTACTTGTCAACAACGCATGAGGCTTTTTAATATTTTTCAAGTATTTGTTTCCAGGGGGAAGTGAGGAAAAACCGGTGGTCAATCCATGTTGCTGAATCAGTGTGTACCGTAGTTTAGAGACGATCCAGAAACTATAATCATTAAAGACCGTTTGTTTTTCAGTCTGATGCTTTAATCTTCATTTTGCTGGGCAGAAAGCCAAAATACCGGGCTACCTGGTTCAGGGCCTGACGCTTAGCCAACCTACTGCCTTGGAGCTTCAGAGCCATGGCAACGAAGGAGTCAGATACCGAAGCAGAGTCAGCCCTCACCTCATCAGCCAGTCGCAGCAAACAAGAGTCTGAAAACCCGAACTATGCTCTCAGATATACTCTCGTGGGACATACGGAAGCAGTGTCATCGGTTAAATTTAGTCCTAGTGGAGAATGGCTAGCAAGTTCTTCTGCTGATAAAGTAATTATAATTTGGGGAGCCTATGATGGAAAATATGAGAAAACACTTTATGGTCACAATCTGGAAATATCAGATGTTGATTGGTCATCAGATTCCACTCGTCTTGTTTCTGCCTCAGATGATAAAACTCTAAAGATTTGGGATGTGAGATCTGGGAAGTGCTTGAAAACTCTTAAGGGACACAATAATTATGTGTTTTGCTGTAATTTCAATCCACCATCCAACCTCGTAATTTCAGGATCTTTTGATGAAAGTGTGAAAATATGGGAGGTGAAAACGGGAAAGTGTCTCAAGACTTTGTCTGCTCATTCTGACCCAGTTTCCGCTGTTCATTTTAATTGTAATGGGTCCTTGATAGTGTCTGGTAGCTATGATGGTGTCTGTAGAATCTGGGATGCTGCATCAGGTCAGTGTTTAAAAACTCTTGTTGATGATGATAACCCACCTGTCTCTTTTGTAAAATTTTCTCCAAATGGTAAATATATTCTCATTGCAACTTTGGACAATTCTCTTAAACTGTGGGATTACAGTAGAGGTAGATGCCTGAAGACATACACTGGTCATAGGAACGAGAAATACTGCATATTTGCCAATTTTTCAGTTACTGGTGGAAAGTGGATTGTGTCTGGTTCAGAGGATAACCTGGTTTATATTTGGAATCTTCAGACTAAAGAGATTGTACAGAAGTTACAAGGTCATACAGATGTTGTAATCTCAACAGCTTGTCATCCTACAGAAAACATCATTGCATCAGCTGCATTAGGAAATGACAAGACAATTAAACTGTGGATAAGTAACTACTAAGCTCTTTAGAAAGCAAGTAGTAGAGCCAAGTTGGATAAAAGATACTTTAAAAGATGGTTTCTTTTAGTTTTGGCATGATTTTGTATTTCTTTTTTATCTTTGTCTTGGGTTATATAAGATTTTAAGACCTATAACCTAAATTTACAAAAACAGTTGGAAAAGAAAGTCTAGATAACCTAGGGCTTCTGACTTTTAATCTTAAAGTCTGTTATTAATCTTTTTTATCTGTCCCTAGACAGATTTCCATTCTGTTCCTCTCTCTCTCTCTTTAAAGATTTTATTTACTTTTAGAAGAGAAGGGAAAGGAAGGAGAAATTGAGGGAAACATGAATGTGTGGGTTCCTCTTGCATGCCCCCTACTGGGGAGCTGGGCCCCAACCTAGGCACATGCCCTGACTAGGAATCAACCTGCAACCCTTTGGTTTGCAGGCTGGCGCTCCATCCACTGGGCCACACCTGCCAGGGCCCATTCTGTTCCTCTCAATGACTCTTCTAGAGGATTGGTATTTTGATATTTGAGAAATATTTAGAAAATTCACAAGACAGAGTGATTGATTTAATGAGGGGAGCAAAGGAGTTTGGAATAATTCCAAGGTTTTTGGTTTGGGAGACCACATGAGTAAGAGCATAAGTCTGTGATGACGGTGGATTGAAGATGCATGTCAGATGCCACTCACACACTTAAGTGATAAGCCTACAGGATGGGATGTGAAGTGGTCCTTGGAATCAAGCCAGCAGATTGGGAAAAATAGGTGGTTAGGTTTGTTCTGAAAGTCTAAAACGTTATGTCATTTTACTAAAGGACCCCTTAATGCCTTGTCAGGTTGCGTGCTCTCACGATTTTCAAGCAAACTAAATGTCTGAGTGGGAGGCTACTCTTGCATTATGTGTCTGACCCACAGGCTCCTACCCATGCTTTCAAACTTAATTCAGACATCACCACTTTGTGGAGCCATCACTGCCTGCCTGACTCCAACCACACCCGGCAGCTGAGTTAGGTTTTCTGGCTATTTCTATAGTTTCTGTTAGTAAAATTAAAATATATCACTTACCAATTGTACTGTAATGGTTTCATGGGCCATATTTTCAGTATATTATGTGCTCTGTGGATCATTAAGTATGTTCTATTATTCATCTTTGTATTCTCACTTTTTGTATATACAGTGGACTCAGGTAATGTTTGATAAATGACAGCAAATTATACCACCAGCACTTCATTCTTTGCCTGCTTTCACTAAATTTTAAGAATCAATTCCCCATACTATTATTTTTGTTGATTAAAATTAAAAGTATCTGATTATGTGAGTAGAGCCTCACATATTAACTTTATTCAATAGGGCTTTTAGAAAATATAAAGAGAAAATGGCTTCTTCCCAGTATCTATAGAGACATGATGAAAAAAATCTAGAAATTAAGCAAAAGATAGTACAACAATTGAAAGTATCAAGAGCAAACCTGTCTTCTTTCGTATTCTATAGTATCTTATACTAGTGCTCATTATATCTGATTTGCTTGACTAGTTCTGAGGCACATAAGATATTAGAGTTAGTGGGGTATCATGACTAAGAAGTTAGTATGTGAGGGTAGTGGGAGAAGTGGGATTAGATAGGGGCAGGCAGATCTAATTCTGGCCAAGAAATTTCTATTTAATCCATAAAGAGGCAGCTGCTATAAGTTAGTGAATACAGTGACACAGAATGAAAAATGATTGTGTAAATTCTTGCTGCACTGTAATATTTTGTTTTATAACTTTTTTATATAAACTTTTTTTATTTTTTTTGAAGTTTTTTTTTTTAAAGATTTTATTTTTAGAGAGGGGAAGAGTGTGAGAAAGAGAGGGAGAGAAACATCCTGTGTGGCTGCCTCTCGTGCGCCCACAACAGGGACCTGGCCCGAAACCCAGGCATGTGCTCCTACTGGGAACCAAACCAGCGGCCACCCAGTTTGCAGTCCAGTGCTCAATCCACTGAGCCACACCAGCTGGGGCAGATTATTTATTTTTAAAAGAATTATATTAAAATTTACTCATATTTATAACATTGGTTTAGGTAAGATGTAACATAAGTGTTCCAAAATAATTATGAAAAACTAATCTGCTAAAATGTATGAGAAGTGATGCTTTTTTATAACTTTCAAGTGATAAAAATCAAAGACTTTGGTATCTAAAAAGTAGTTATGGTCAAATTATTGTAAAATATATAGACAGGCATCATTAACATAAGATAGATTATGAAGCTATAGGTAGACTGGTGCATTACATTTTACTGAGTATTTTACTAAACCAAGGTCCCAAACACCTGCATACACTGCTTTTTAATCTGTTATAACCCTCTTAGGAGACCCAGCAGGTTGATATGGTTATGAGGACATGTCATCCATTTTTACTTGTGAGAAAATAAATGAAATACTTAAAATAGAAACCAGCATCCATACCTAAATATGAGACAACTTGGCATCCCAAAGGCACAAATGCTTATCTCTCAACACTAATGAGAAAATGCATTTGATAGATTTTCATAACTGAATTTAGTGTAAAGGCAGCAGGAGAAGGACCAGTTGGGAATTCGAAGCCATGGAGCAGAATAGGTGACTGTGCTGTCCCCAAGCAGTACCACGAGGTTGGGATTTCAAAGTTCTTAGAAACCTGTGGCCAGATCACTCCTCACCTTGCCAGGACACCTCTGCCAGCACATGCCAAAATGGCAAAGTGTGGTCTGAATGCTTGCCAGGGCTCTGAGAAGACGCTCCCTAAATGCACTTGGGCAGTGTACTCAGCTGGCCTTTCTTATGTCTCCAGAATGAATACAAAGGAGAGAGAGAAATGCAGAAAAAGAAGACATTTTGGCTTCTGGGGAGAAGTCACTTTAGTAATGGGAATCAAGATAGATACTGTACCAGATTTTAGGGGAGAGTTAATATTAAAGTCAAAATAAGTTGTCTCATTTTTCATTGTTTCACTTTATCAAAAATCTGAGAAACTGCATTTAACCTGCATTGAAGCCATGAAATGAGACAAGTCAGTTCTTTAAGAAAATTTATTTGTACCTCTAGAGCAAAACAGGGTAATGGTATGTTTGTACCAACCATGCTTGCACGATGTGGATCCTCATACGACAGTCTTTAATACAGGCTGTTGCTGAAACATCCCCTGGATTTTCAAAATCCAGCCAACGTGGATACCGCTGCTACTCTGTTTTGGCCTTCATCGCTGCTTCCTCTCTCAGACGAGCTTTCTTTTCTAAGTTCAGGCTTGTTAAAGATTCATGTCGTCTGGCAGCCTAAAATGAAACAATTTGAACAAGTAATTATTTATGCCCATTTGGGAGTGATGTCATTACCTTGCACTGACGTCAGCAGGGTACCTAGAGCAGGACAAAAATGGACAGGCCTGCTGCAAGCTGGGCCCCGCAGGACCCCCGCCGGTGACTTCTGCTTCCTCTAATGCCTCCCAGTACCGTAGTCCATCCATTCAAGCACTGCTCTTCCTTCCGGCCTCATTCATTCAATCTTCTAGCCTCTCTTCCTTTTTCCTGCCTTCAATATTAAATACCTTCTCCTTTCCATTTTTATCCCCTTTTCTTCCCTTTTGCTTTTCTTTGTTGCTACCATTATTTCCTCCAAATCATTATAAACTTCCACACTCTTAGCTCCTTACTCCCTTTTTTTTTTACCTAAAACATTCAGTTTTGGGGATCCCAGACTTCACCAACTCCTACCATTGATGACTTCCAGCGACATACACCCTACTACTCCACCCTTTGAGAGCAAACAGCAGTGTGGGAGAGGCACCCATCCTCCTCCCTTGCTTCCCTCCCTGTGAAGCTTATGTTAATAGACCAGTTTCAATATTTTTATACCAAACAAGTGACACTATCACCCTATAAGGTAGTATTTTCTTATCTCTGTGATTTCATATGTAAAGAATTAGGTATGGAAAGGGGAGGAGACTGTGCATGGTAAGTAGGGGGTGAGCACAAACCATAGAGTGGCTAATTTCTCTCTTCTGATTGACATTAAATTCAAGTTTCCCATTCCAGTGGCATCTACCAATTTTTTAGAAATAGTTCCATAAAAAGCAAGCAATACAGTTTTATGATACAAAACAAGAGAGAAACTCTAAAGCACACAGTGTGGACCTGACTGGTATGGCTCAGTGGGTGGATGGGAAAGGTTGCCGGTGTGATTCCTGGTTAGGGCACAAGCGCAGCTGAAGGTGTGCAAGAAGCAACCCATTGATGTTTCTCTTCCTTCCCCTTTCTCTAAAAATAAATAAAATTCTTTAATGAACACAGTGTATATACCCTCGGATGAGGCTAGAGGAGATCCTAGTATCTTCCATTCAGAGACTCCAAGGAGAGCTGAAAGTTCATTTCCTTTTACTCTAGACTCTTGGGATAAGGAGGTCAGTTATCACCGGATTGGGAGAAAAACCTTTTAAATGTGATAATACATACAAGATATCTCTTTCCAAAGGGAAGCAGTGATAAAATAAAGGTATTAAAATAAAGGTTTGGTCGTGACCAGTGTGGCTCAGTTGGTTGAGTACTGTCCTGCAAAAAAAAGGTCGCCAGTTCAATTCTGGGTCAGGGCATGTGCCTGGACTGTAGGTTCGGTCCCTCCCTGGTAAGGACGCATACAAGAAGCAACCTATCGATGTTTCTCTCGTACATCGCTGTTTCTCTGTCTCTTTCTCCCTCACTTCCTCTCAAAAATAACTAACTTAAATCTTTTAATTAATAAATAAATAAATAAACATCTGACCATTGCTGCTGCATATAAAAGTAACTACATTTTAATTACAAGATAGTACAGTATGAAGTTTGATAACTTGCAAACTTGGTTCTCAATTTTTATCTTGGTGCTTAATTAGCCATGTGACTTTGGGGAAATTATTTAACTTTTTAAAAAATTTTAAAGATTTTTATTTATTTATTTTTAGAGAGATGGGAAGGGAGGGAAAAAGAGAGGAAGAGAAACATCAATGTGTGGTCGCCTCTAATGCACCCCCAACCAGAGACCTGGCCCACAATTCAGGCATGTGCCCTGATCAGGAATCGAACCACTGACCCTTCTGCTCGCAGGCCCACACTCAATCCACTGAGCTATACCAGCCAGGGCTATTTAACATGTTTTTTTAAAGAGATTTTATTTATTTACTTTTAGAGAGGGAAGGGAGGGAGAAAGAGGGAAACAGCAATGTGTGGTTGCCTCTCATGCACCCCCCCTACTGGGGACCTGGCCAGCAACCAGGCATGTGCCCTAGACTGGGAATCAAACCGACAACCCTTTGGTTCACAAGCTGGCCAACACTCAATTCATGGAGCCACACCAGCTAGGGCTATTTAACATCTTTTAAGCTTCATGTTCTTTTATAAAACACATAATAAGAGAAACTACCTCCTAGGTTCTTAGGGTTATTGTAATTAAATGAGTTTAACTGCTTGCTATACATAAGCACTCAGTAAGTGGGAGCAATTTTACTGGCACCTCAGTTAGGTTGAGGTGCAAACTGTGGCTCTGTCATTGGGGAGATGCATGACCTTGGGCAAGGTACTAAAGCTTTCTAAGCTATGTTTCCTCAGCTATAAATAAGGTCCTAATAATAGTACCTACCTTGCAGTGTTGTGAGGCTCAAAAGAGATAACAGCGAAGTATAATACTTGGCAGACAGGCCATTTCATTATAGTTATTAATGATTATCCATGTTAATACAGTGATTTCTAGACTTGAATTCCTATGTACTGCTGAGCAGCTATGGTCTTTACACATATGGCCCAGCTTGGCTGAGCTCAAAGCAAAGAATGTGGTAAGACTGCTCACCAGGATTAAGGCAGTCAAAAGGGGGAGAAACAAGCCCATGTACTGACAGTGCTTTACAAGCATGCATAGAGCAATCATTAAATGTGTCAGTGTTATTTCTTAGTTCATATTATTTATCAAATCTGTGGATAACTAAATACTTTTTACTTTGCACAAGATTTAGTCCTTCTCTTTGCCAAGGTTAGGATTTGCTCTTTATCCCCAGACATGATATCCTAGGCTTGCTAGGTTTGTCCCTACTGTATCTTACTTTGTGTCTTATAATTTCTTGTGCAGGAAGTAGCCTCCTCTTCTCAGAGAATAAATAGGAGGGTCCATCCCTGATTGCCTCTTGTGGAAAAGAGAGTTAAAGAGGAAGTCCACTCTCACCTTCTTGCCCTCGATAACCATCAAGATGCATCCTGCCACGGTCAGGGCCATCATTATATAGCTGATCTTCACCCGGACCTTGTTCTTTGCAGCATCAAGCATCTCAAACCTAATAATACAATGAGGTCAGGAGAGAAAGTTCACTTTCTGAAGTTGCCAGCAGGATATAAAGCTCTGTATCACAAATCAGAAGCGGAGCGGGGCCTATAAATATACAAAAGGAGGTGGGGCCTAGAGATCTTATAGGACTTTAGTGACAATGGGGCATGTTCACAACTCATTTTATATTTACATATAAAATACAATAAGATAGCACAAATTTTAAGTAGGACAGAAAGGAGAAAGTGTGAAAATAGAAAGTGAAACCAGGAACAAAGTACCCCCCCAAAAGGCAACACATATTAATCTATGCTTGCTATGGTGGGCCCCGAGTTTGGCTCTCAAGTTTCACACTAGCAGCTAAAGCTAAAAGTGGAGCCAGTAGCTGTTTCTCCTTGAGGTTCTCAAGAAGATATTCTGTTATATAATGATTCTCTGAATAATATCCTGACAACGGATACTGCAATGAGCCTCAAAGTTTCAACACAAAAGTGCAATTCATGAGAAAAATATGGGAGCGAGTTAATGTGCTCTTTATACCCAACTTTTCTGTACTCTGCCTTGAATCAGGAGACTTGAAAATACCTTGAAACAGTATAAAGACCCTTTACACAATACTTCCTTAATGTTTATCTTTTAATATTTTGCTAAAATTGAGTGACAGTGAATTTTAGCTCTTGGGCAAGTGCCTCTTCTAACCTGTCGACTGAATACAGAGCCATGTGCCTTAACAGAAAGTTAAGGGTTAAGGTTATATTATCATTCTTGTGGGAAAGCTGAGAGGCCAAACAAGAAAGAGTCTGAAGAGCCCTGGCTGGTGTAGCTCAGTGGATTGAGTGCCGGTCTGTGAACCAAAGTATTGCTGGTTCAATTCCCAGTCAGGGCACATACCTGGGTTGCAGGTCCCCAGTAGGGGGCACAGGAGACACAAACACACATTGATGTTTCCTCTCTTTCTCCCTCCCCTCCTCTCTCTAAAAATAAATAAATAAAATCTTTTTAGAGTCCTAATGGGCACAGGATAAAGAACTGGGCTACTTGGTGGATTATAAATAGGAAATGATTATCTCTAGATAAAGGGATTGGAGTGCTAACTACTTTCCCCACCCCCATTTTAACACATTACATTTTAAATCAAAGAACAAAAAGTGCTTTAAAAGTGCTTGGAAGGAAGCACAGGCTCTGGGACAAAGCAGGAGCAGGAGGAGCAGCCCCAAAGCATCTGCACTGCGATGTACAAGCTGGGACCCGCTGAAGCAGCAATGCGCATGGAGTGCTCCGGGCACTGACAGCAGGCTGGGCCTGCGGCTGGGAGAAACCAGGGACTACCGCTAAGGACACCGAGTTGCTCTATTAGGAGCATCTAAGATCCCCCAACCACAAACTAACTACCCTTGTTGACAATATTTTATGTGAACTGGTACTTTTCCAACTGAAGTACTGTAATCCTCATGAAAAGTGATACAGTTTACTTTTGAGGGAACATTTACAAAGCCCTAACTGGTATGGGCTCAGTAGGCTGGGTGTTGTCCCACATATCAAAAGGTTGCTGGTTCGATTCCCGGTCAGGGCACATGCCTGGGTTTTAGGTTCGGTCCCCAGTTGGGGGGTGTGAGAGGCAACGGATCAATGATTCTCATCAATGATTCTCAAACATTGATGTTTCTCTCCCTCCCTCCCCCTTTCTCTAAAAATTAATAAAATAAGATCTTTTTAAAAATAGTAAAGTGCACATAAATAAGGCCGTGATGTTGCCTCCATTCTATAGGGAGTCATCATGATGGGCAAGTTCAGTGCCTGTTCAGAACTGTGAGCACAAAGAAAAATGGCTGCCCGGGCTCAGAAAAAGGCCTCCTAGGGTAACTCACTAGCTAGTGCTTTGGGCTACAGGGGATCTGGGAACCACATACAGATCTGGGGCCAACCGAAGAAGGTGTTCCATAGCAAAGTCTATATAGCACCTATTAGGTCCACAGGTATATACGAGCTTGTATTCTGCTGGGACTTTCATGAAGAGATTGGGACAGGCACGCACCTGATGTCACTGAAATTCAGGTGTGTATTGTCACTTGAGCAAAGACGGAGTAGGGCTTTCCCGCTGAAATAATTTTTCCCCTTAAAAATAATGTGCTATTTAATTTGACATGCAGAAACAGAAGGACTCTTTTTTAAAGGTATTGTGGCAAATACACAGAAGGCAAATACTACTTATCTTTCTGACAAAGACCCCCTTAATAAACCCGTATCTTTTGCAATCATGACTTGAAACCAGAAAGCAGAAGGTACAGGAGTAGTTTTCTTGTGAGAAGGGAATGACTAGATTTGTCCCAAGTCCCCGTCTCTGAGCAGGATGATGCCCCACCAGAGATTCTGTTTCTCAGAATCTCTGTTGGCCAAGATGCAAACCAATCAGTAAAGCAGTGGTTCTCAACTGGGAGTAATTTTTGTCCCCTCAGAGGGAGACATTTCTGATTGTCATTAACGAGTGCCACTGGCATATAAAGGAGTGAAGAGGCCAATGAAGATGCTACTAAACATTCTATAATGCACAAGACAGCCCCCAACAACACAAATTATCTGGCTCAAAGTGTCAAGAGGGCTGAGGTTGAGAAACTGCGTTAGAGGAACATGTCCTCATCATCTACAGACTCTGTAACAGTCCCAAGATCCCAGCCAGGCTGGGTTTAAGGAAGTTGGTGACAGAAGGCACTCTTTCCTGCATCCCAGAGATCCAGGAAATACTTTTATGCCAATGTCTGAGCACTTGAGTGAATTGCATAGAATATGGTTATTGTCACTAGTAACTGATACGCCCGGATTAAAAGAAACTATGAAGAGTGAACATCACTGTTTAGTCACATTTCTGTAGGCAGGAGAAGAAACCTAACCAGTAGACTTCAGAGTATCTGCTGTTCACTGGCACTACATCACAATGATGATAAGACACTGGCTTCCTAGCACTGTTTTTATTCCAGATACTTGATAAAGAGGAGACATTTGGGAAATGTGAAAACTGTTTTAAAATTTGGTTAAAAGTTTTTAAATAGACTCAGAGGAACTGCTTTTCCTTTAAAACAAATCAGTGAGAAATAAAAGCTGCTTACAACCCTAAGTACAGCACTCACGAGATAGTCTCTGGGATGTCTTCTTCCTTTTTGAAGCGACCTGCCCATATCAGGATCTTCCTCTCCCAGTGCGTAGGTTTGTGTAATGGCACTCGGTGGGTGTAAGTGTCTATGAGAAAAACAAGACATCTTACTCATGTGAGATTATGACTCTCAAATTTAACAACAAAAAAATGTTATTTGTGCCATTTTAGAACTACCGGGTCTAAATATATGCCATCTGAGTAGGTTTCATTAATGAGCCCGGAGTGGAGATAATCATCCGTAAAGGTGAAAAAGAAGAGAAGAAGGCCAAGGGCTGAGCCTTGGGCATGACCCAGACAGGGTTCTGGAGAAAGAGGCAGCAGGGGGAAAAGGAGTGGCCAAAGAGGCAGATAAATAAGAAAGGTACAAAACCACAGACTGTAAGAGAAAGTCTTTTAAAGAAAGGGGAAGTCACTGAAGGCGAGGAGGAGGAAAATTTAGGGAATCACAGGATGTCAACGTAGAAGGGACCTTGGAGATAATCTCACCCAAATGCTATGTACTGCCTCCATCTCTCTCGGGGACAGACCTGCTCCTTGACCGCGTTACCTACGTGTCCCACTCAGTCCCCCTCCACGCCTTTGTTTATGCTGCTCCTTTTACTTAATCAGAAGTTAACAGCAAAAGAACAGGAAAGTCAATAGGAAAAAAACCCAAGGAACCAAAGGCAAGAAAAGAGGTTGAGAAGTATAGAAATAGCACTACTGTAGTTTTATCTAAAACTTCTAGCACTTGATACAGCTCTCACTATAGTATTTTTCCCCTCCCATTTTAAGTGCCATATACCCATTGAAGATAATTCAGAAAGATAGATGTGGGGAAAAAAAGAAAAAGGTAAAAATCATCTCTAATTCTCTTGTCATAGCATAATCCATATATTTTTATTTTGGTGTGTTTCCTAACTCTTATCCCTGTAAGTATGTATGCATGTGTGATTTATCCCTGGATCATGCTTGTGCATATACACAATCTAAAATTTTGTATTCTGCTTTGTTCAGTAACTTTGTCACATTTCCCATGCTAGTACATGGTATACCTAAGCACCATTTCCAATAGCTGCATAATCTCATCAAGCAGATCTGACATATGTAATTAATCATTCCTGGGTTAGTTGACATTTAGATTTATTTTTCATTTTCTTATCATACATAAAAATGGAAACATCTTTACACTTAAAACTTTTCCTGTATGTAGGGATTATTCCTTAGGATAGATGCAATACCAGGTCAAAGGGTATAAACATTTTTAAGCTGTTGATAAAAATATTCTTTGAGGATGGTTCCTTTCCACTCACCAAGACCTGCTTAGCTCACGTGTACTCTCATGAAGAGGCAACAGGCAAACAGTTCTTAGGACCCTACGGTTCATTAATTACGCTCCTTCTTCCTATAGTGGTGGCAAGAGAAGGGTTTGACTTAGGGACAGGACTAAACGTGGCTGATGTTAGCGCCCAACCCAGAGCCTAGCCCAGATTGTATTTTACCCAAAACATCATTTCTTGACTTAGTTATCTTTGGGGTTCCTTAAATATTTCTAAACTACTGTTTACTTTGGTGCATCTATTCTCCTACAAAAAGTGACAGTCCAATCTTTGAGGTGAGAAATAAACATGACAAATGAGATAAATGAAGAATCATCGCTACCTGTGAGCACAGCCAATGTCAGTACAATTTGGGAGACCTGAACTACATGACAGTAGGATGTAGTGCCCCCTGCCACCGCCTGTCCCGTATGTTCTTTTGATTCCAATTGTCCTCCTGCCTAGTCCATGATTAGAAAAGATAATAAGAACTTACGGGATGGAGGTTTTGGACTTTCCTGTGGTTTGGTGCAATAACCATTTATTCTCTTCAAATCAGAGTTTCTGGTAAGCCTCAGAAATGAGAAAGCATCTTTTTCACATAACCTAAAATAATTCCCTAGAAAAGAGAGAAAAATGTTTCAGAGAAAGAAAATCTGTTGTCTCAAAATGAGCATGCCTGCAAGGTATATATTTAACAAAATCAACTCATTTAGGAAATGCATATAGGCCTGGTTGGTGTGGGTCAGTGGATTGAGTGCCGGCCTGCAAACCAAAAGGTCACAGGTTCGATTTCCAGTCAGGGCACATGCCTGGGTTTCAGCCCAGGTTCCCCAGTTAGGGGCATGCAAGAGGCAACCAACAGATGTATCTCTTGCACATTGGTGTTTCTCTCCCTCTTTTTCTCCCTCCCTTCTCTGCTCCCTAAAAAGTATATAAGTAAAATGTTTTAAAAAAAGAAAATGAATGTACTACTCTACTTGTAAGACACATGCACTCTATTTAGAGGTGCTAAGTTTGGTGTCGTTTTAAAATATACATGTGTTGCTGATTAGAAAGTTAGGAATTTACAACATTTTATCAGCTGCAAGTTTTATAAAAAGTACGTCTCACATGTCTTTTCATAACAATAATGGTTCTGTGGAAATACTATGTATTATAGCACCCAGCTGTTTAGGTAAAGACTAGCAAATTCCCAGACATGATAAACCAACACATCAAGTTGCCAATACTATTCTTGTCAACTATGGGTAGGAAGCTGCAATTACAACGGGTTCTAGAAAACCTGTTCCTTCCAGACCATAATTCTCCAATTAAATGGATGTAGTCATGAATTATGTGTAATTTTAAAATTATACATATATAAATTTATAAAGTTATATATAAATATACAGGTTAATTATTTTATTGATTGATCTTAGAGACAGAAAGGGAAACACTGACTTTTTGTTCCACTTATTTATACATTCATTGGTTGACTCTTGTATGTCCCCTGACTGGGGATCAAACCTGCAACCTTGGCATATCCAGATGACACTCTAACCAACAGAACTACCAAGCCAGGGTCTAGGTTGTCAAATTTTTCTAAAACATTTTATTTATTTATTTTTAGAAAGAGAGGTAGGGAAGGAGAGAGGAGGAGACACATAAGTGTGTGATTGCCTCTCACGTACCTGCTACTGGGGACCCAGCCTGCAACACAGGCACGTGCCCTGACTGGGAATTGAACAGGTGACCCTATGGTTCACAGGCCAGAGCTCAATCCACTGAGCCACACCAGCCATGGCTAATTTTTAAAATCTAAATTCTAAGCACCTATAGAGAGTAGTATTACAAACCTCTACAAACTTAGCACCCAGTTTCAACTATTATCAATACACGGCCAATAAATAGTTTCATCTGAACCCTACCCGCTCCTTATTCCATACCGGGTTATTTTAAAGCAAATCCCAAACATTGTATTAGTTCTTCCGTATATACTTCAGTATGTGTACTGCATATCTTTAAAGTAACTTCCTAATCTATGCTAAACCTCCCAAGGATGAGTGTAACCAGTTCAACCACTTTTCCCTTTGCATTTGCAAACATCCTTCTTCTGTGATGTGATTAGCAGCATCCTCTTCTCTGTCATTTGTAAAAGGTAACCACCTAAGCAAACTTCTGCATAGTAAATGAGGACCATACTGGATGTAATGTGCCCAGAAAAGCAATAATAGCCTGTCCAGGGAAGGGTCGTGGCCCTCTCCCTCAAGAGAGTGGCCATGCTGTCCCTTTTTCTCCACAGGACTTCTGTAGTCCATGTGTTTGTTTATTGCAGCTACAACACACAGATTCTGCTGGCTGGGGTCCACATCAGGTAGGAGCTCCTTCTTCCTTTCTGCTGCACAGTATTCCATTGTGTAAATGTACCACAGTTTTTTGATCCACTCATTTACTGATGGGCCATTAGTGCTTCCAGCACTTGACTATTATAAATGGTGCTGCTATGAACATTGGGGTTCATAGGTTCTTTTGAATTGGTGTTTCGGGGTTCCTAGGGTACAATCCTAGAGGTGGAATTGCCAGGTCAAAAGACAGTTCCATTTTTAGTTTTCTGAGATATTCCATACTGTTTTCCACAGTGGCCGCACCAGTCTGCAATCCCAACAACAGTGCACTAGGGTTCTCTTTTCTCAACAACCTCTCCAACTCTTCTGGTCTGATTTCTTTATAATGGCCATTCTCACCAGTGTGAAGTGGTATCTCACTGTGGTTTTAATTGGCATCTCTCTGATGGCTAGTGATACTGAGCATCCTTTCATACATCTCTGGGCCATCTGTATGTCCTCCTTGGAGAAGTGTCTGTTCAAATCCTTTGCCCATTTTTTAATTGGGTTGTCTTCCTGGAATGGAGTCATGTGAGTTCTTTATATATTTTGGAGATCAAGCCTTTGTCCGAGTTATCACTAACAAATGTTTTCCCATACAGTTGGTTTTCTTTTCATTTTAATGCTGTTTTCTTTAGCAGTGCAGAAGCTTCTTATTTTGATGGATCCTGTATTTTTATTCTTTCCTTTATATCCCTTGCTCTAGGGGGACATATCAGTGAAAATATGGCTGCATGGAATATCTGAAATTTTCCTACCTATGTTCTTCTCTAGGACTTTTATGGTGTTCTGACTTGCATTTAAGTCCTTTATCCATTTTGAATTTATTTTTGTGTATGGTTTGAGTTGATGATCAAATTTCATTGTATTGCATGTAGCTGTCCAGCTCTCCTGACATCATTTGTTGAAGAGGCTATTTTTACTTTATTTTGTGTTTCTGCCTGCTTTGTTGAATATTAACTGACCATAGAGACTTGGGTTTGTTTCTGGACTCTTTATTCTGTTCCCTTGGTCCATGTGTCTGTTCTTATGCAGAAATAGTATTTTTGTTTTTCATTTGAGAGAGAAAGGGAAGAGAGAGAAGAGACACCAATGTGATGTTCCACCCATTTAACTTTCATTGGTTGATTCTTTATGTGCTCTGACCAGGCATCGAACCTGCAACCTTGGCATATTGGATACTCTAACCAACTGAGCTACTCAGCCAGGGCTCACTTAGCAAGTTATCAAGGTTTATTCATGTTGTAGCATTTTAGCAGTGTTTAGTTTTTCTTATTGACAGATTTTATTCCATTGCAAAGATATCCCAGAATTTCTTTAGTCAATGGACATCCAGGTGGTTTCCACTTTTTGGCTACTACTTTTTGGCTATTGCTGATACGGACATTTGTGTACAAGTTTTATAGGGAACATCTATTTTCATTTCTTTAGAGCATATACTATGAGGGAGAAGTGCTGGGTCATGTGGTAACTCTACAATTGATCATTTGAGAAGCCGCAAGACCATTTTCTAAGTGGCTGTAGCATTTTACATTTCCATCAGCAATGTATGTGGGTTACAATTTCTTGCATCCTGGCCAACACTTACTTTTATTTTTTAAATTAAAACCATTCTACCAGGTATGAAATGGTATCTCATTGTGGTCTTGATTTGTACTTCTCTACTGAGTAATGATGATGAGGATCTTTCATATGTGTATTAGCTATTTGTGTATCTTCTTTGGAAAATGTTCTTTCAGCTCCTTTGCTCATTTCCTAACTGCTTATTACTGAGTTGTAAGAGTTCTTTATATATTCTGGATACAAACTGTTTATCTTATATATAACTGCATGTATTTCCTCCCATTTCATGGGTTGTCTTTTCACTATCTTGACGAGGTCCTTTAAATAAGAAACTTTTAAATTTTGATGAAGTCCAATTTACTTATTTTATCTTTTGTTGCTTGAGCTTTGTGACAAGGTCACAAAGGTTTACTCCTATGTTATCTGCTAAGAATTTATAGTTTAACTTTTAGGACTGTGATTCATTTTGAGTTAATATTGGTATCTTGTATATGGAAAGGATCCAACTGCAGTCTTTTGCCTATTATTATCCAGTTCTCCCAGCACCATTTGTTGAAAAAATGATTCTTTCCCCTGCTGGGATTTTTTGGGGGCACAATATAGAAAATCAATTGACCAAATATGTGAGGGCTTATTTTTGACTCCATTCTATTTCACAGATCTATATTCCCTTTACTCCCTTGTGTTGTTGTGTTTTGCCACATAAGTCTGTATTCTATGTGGCCTTGGTGGTCAGCCAATAACTGAACAGTGATTTCTTTCTTTAATTGCATTCCACCAAAGGTTTGCCAGCCTTTGCTGAAGGACTGTGTTTGTGTTGGGCCATGCTCCAGGGTGGGGGTTCTGGGACAGGGGAGCTATTGGCACTGAATTAGCTCTGAATCAGGTAAAAATAAGAGAAAAGGAAAGAAAAGAGAAGAAAAGAGAAAAAGGTGAGGAGGGAGAGGAAAGGAAGAAGATAAAAAGGGGAAAAGACCTGTGAGTATAGAGGTTCCCAGGGAACTGCCAGACAGGTCAAACAGTAACAGTCTCCGGGGCTGGGGGTTCAGGGCCACTGCAAGTCCGTTCTAGGCTGCTGGATTCCATGGCTCCTGTGATTGTAGGGCCATTAGTTTTCAACACTACTGTGAAACTGAGAGGAAAGAGGAATCAGTTGAAATTGCACAAGGCTTGCCGTTCTTACCATAATTAAGTGCTTTTTCTTGGGGAAATGCTAGTCAGACTGTTGGAAGCCTCTGGTTATTTTCTAGAGGTCTGTGAAAATTGATTTTAAGTATTTTTGGCAATATTTTCACTACTTTTATATTGGAGTGGAGTTTCAGAAGTCCTTATTCTAACATACCACAAGTCAGAACCTCTATTTGTATAAAGATCTGTGGTTACCTGCAGTCTTGATCTCGGTTTCTTTCTTTCTTTTCTTTCTTTCTTCCTTCCTTCTTTCTTTCTCTCTCTCTCTCTTTCTTTCTTTCTTTCTTTTCTTTCCTTCTTCCTTCCTTCCTTCCTTCCTTCCTTCCTTCCTTCCTTCCTTCCTTCCTTCCTTCCTTCCTTCCTTCCTTCCTTCCTTCCTTCCTTTCTCTCTTTCTCTCTCTCTCTCTCTCTCTCTCTCTTTCTTTCTGTCTTTCTTTCTGTCTCTCTCTCTCTTTCTTTCAAGAGGCCTCATTTATTTCAGTTTTCTAGGTTTGTATTGCCA